CCCCCCCCCCCCCCCCCCCCCCCGGCTCAGTTTCAGCCCCGCCCCCACAACCTTCATCCAACCTGTCTCTCTCTCTCTCTCTTTCTTAATTGTCCCTTTTTCTTCTGGAAACCCAAAATAGATCCCGAAACTAAATATAATCTCAAGCCGTGATCGATTTCTAAGGTTCTGTCTCCTTTCGGAGGTGGGTCGATTTACGCGTCTGGCTCCCACTGCGCCCAGACCCAGAGCTCACCGGGTCAGCAACCACCCTTAGCAGTGTGGCTGCATTTTTCTCAGCTCTTTCCTTTTTGTTCGCGCGTCGCGCGTCGGGGACTGTAAGCTTGTTGAAGTCAAGCTTAACCTTTGCTTCCACTTCAAACCTGGCTTCTGGCTGATAGCGAGTTATAAATTCTTGTTGGAGTTATTGGAACTTAGACTGCCTTCTACGGACCTTGTCCCTTTTAGGGACCTGAGCACAGGACTTTCAGGTTCCACAATTTGTAATAAATTGCTCCTTCTTTGGGGGAGGGATCCCACAAAGGGACAGACCACTTCTGAGATGTGGGGTGTGGAGAAGCGCAAACATTCATTCACCTGGGGCTGGGAGAGGTGAGTTTCACCCCCTTGCTGAGCAATTGGGCATAATTAACATAGTGGGTATTGGATCCAGCTGCCTGCAACCTCAGGGACAACGCTTCTCTTGTCCATGTTTTGCAGGACTTTAGTCCTGCCAAAAAAAGAGATTTAAAGTCTCTAGGAACATGTTTTAGCAAATGCTGGAGGTTCTGGAGTATGTGAACCTCTCCTACTTTTCTGATTCATTTTTTTTTTAAATCAATGTTTGGGATTAAATACATCTTTTCCATTTTATGATGGAGGGGTACCAGCTATTTTCTTGTTGGAGTTGCTAGTGAGTGCTGAGGTACTTAGAAGGTTTATAGCAAGATAGACTACCTCCCCCCCCCCCAATTTGGTCATTGCTTAAAATGAATACACCTCTCCCCTATTTAGGAAGAGAAGAGGCACACACATGCTATGGGAAATGGGCATAGCTATGGGAAATTCAACCTCTGGGAACAAAGAATGCTTCTTGCCTTAGCTTTATTGCAAGGCCATTTTGTGGGAGGGTGGAATACAAAGATGAGGGCATTTCTGAGACCTGTAGCAGCTAAGCTGTGGAGGTCCACACAGCAGGGCTCTGCTGGATGCCCCTTTACTCCAGCTGCAGGCTTTCTAGTCAACCACTGAAGCTAGCAATGAAGGCCTCTTTTCCCCTGCACCTGCAGCTGTCCCGTCTGGGGAGATCATATAGATGCTGAAAACGGAAAGGTAGCAAGGATACCTGGGATAGGACTACAAACTTAGCAAAACCTGCCAAACCCCAAAGTCATTGACACACAATATTATTTCAGGCTTTCTCTAGGAAACAGGGAAACCTGTGGTCCTTTCCTGCACTTGCATTTTCTTGGTGTGCTTTTGCAGGGATTGGCTTCTCTCTTAGGTAAATCTGTATTACCACCAACTTTTCTTAAACCGGAGTCAACTGTTCAGAAGAAGAAAGATTGGAGATTATCTCAAAGTAGAGATTTTTTTTTTTTGTTGTTGTTGTTGAATGAGAAACCGCTAAAAAGACACTCTGTCACTAGCCCTGGGTCCATGCCTGTCAGGTACAAGCCCATAAAACTGGAAAACTTAGGCTAGTGGGAGAATTCTCTTCTCTAGCCTACCTCAGGCCATGGAGTTCCCTTAAACAGTGCAAATTCTAAACCAGAGACTTGGGCCTCAGGGCCAGAGGGCCTGTTAGCAGCCTTGGCCAGAAGGCAGAAAGGCACAGATTTCACTAGTAGAATGTTGAGCACAGGAAAGGAGGGGGTAGGACAGAGATCGGGGGTGGGGGGGGGTTGGGGGGGAGTAGCATGGAACTCTGACCTCAGCAGCGCCCCCCAAAGGGAAACCCCGGGTCAGAGAGGACACTTACGTGCACACGGTCTTGATGTTCGTTTTGTCGTCCAGGCCCTGCGGGTAGTTGGCCATGCTGTCGCCCAGTTTGAGCAAACAGTCTGAAAAGCCCTTAAAGACCGCATCGCACTTGCCCGCTGCTCTCACGGCCTGCACCAGGTAAGCTGTGGAGAGGAGGGACACCAGTCAGCATCGCCACGCCACCACCCTGCCCCTTTACTGACCCTGTGGCCCCTTGGGGTGGTCTCTTAAAATTTAGCGCTGTGGCCCCGGAATGACCTATATGCTTTGGGCCCACCTCTGGTGCAGATGGAGGGATCCGGGCCGTGGGTAGGTACAGATGGGTGGCGGGGAGGTGAGTCCATTTATTTTCTCCAGCTCGCTCCTAACTGAGCTCTGTTTCTTTTTCTGTTTTCATCGCCCCCTCTTCTCACCTCCCTCATCTCCTTTATTACTCTTTTTTCCTCACTCCCTCCTTGTCTCTCGACACTTCCTCCACCAAAACCCTGTCACGTCTCGCGGTGCAATTTTCCATTTTTGTGGTGACAGAGGGGGTCTGACAAGCAGAGTGCTGGGGGGGGGGCAAAAAAAAAAAAAAGGCCAGAGAGGTGTGGAGTCCGGGGTTGCGCTGCTAAACCAAGAGCCACACCCCCAGGGTAACCATCAGGCGCCTGGGTCTTTGTCAGGTACGCAGCAAATATTGCTTAATGAATGAATGAATAAAGTCTTTGGAAGATTGCAACAGCCACGGGGACGGGATGTTTTTATTTCAAAACCGATTGCCCAACATGAAGTCTGTTGTTTGTGAGACCCTTAGGTGTACAGTTTTCTGCCACTCTAAAGCAGGCCAGTTTAAATGTCCAGGGCCCTAAAGGGATAAGTATTGGTCTCAGTAGCTGGTGTGTGTGTGTGTGTGTGTGTGTGTGTGTGTGTGTGTGTGTGTGCAACAGATATATCGGTACCAGTGACCACAGTCAATGCCAGGAGCCTGGTGTGTGCGTGCGTGTGCGCGCGCCTGTGTGGCATCTTTCCCTTTCCTTCTCTGCAAGTCTCACCTCTACACTCCCCTTTAATGTCCCTGGAAACACTCAGGAGAGCAGATCTTTCCTCTCAAGGTTGCAGCCCAGCTAGCTAGGCGCCGGGTAGGCTGCCGCCTAGCACTCTGGCTTCTAGTGGGGGCGGGGGAGTTGAAGTAGGTAGAAGCTGGGCCAGAGGCAGAAGGAGAGAGAAGGGAAAATTCCAGGACACTCTAGGGTCCTAGCTCCCAAACTCAAGTCAATCAAATCTGAAGCGCTGAAATTGAGAGCTACTAAGCTTCCAGGCCGCCTAGCGCGGCCCCATAACCATTTCTTCCCACCCGGTGGCAAACGACCGGGTTGGGGGCTCGGCCCCCAACGAAACAGCGGGCAAAAAGGGCCAAATACCTGGGGTACCCGAAGGACTAGAGAGAGTATCCCATTTCCGCTGTAGGGGCGGGGAAGGGTGAATCCTAGAAGGGAAATGGGCCTTAGGCTCTAAGGGATTTGGGTACAGGCCTCCTGTGCCGCCATCCCGGTTGAAAGCCTCCTGGATGGGTGGAACACTCAGCACCCCCTCAGCCACCGTCTCTGAACGCCAGGCTACTGCAGACCCGGGGGAAGGTGACCCAACCAGACGCAGCCTCCGGGAGCTGCGCGTCGGCAGAACGCCGCAGGAAGAGCTAGGCGGGACTAGTGCTTTCTAATCCGGAACGGGAAGCGCTGCGGAAGGGACGGAGGTTAACTTCCACCTCGGCAGGGGCAGACACATAACCTTTCATAAACCTAGCTTCCTTCACACCTATTTAAAAAACAACTCGGCACTATAATAAAAGCAAAAATTTAAACACTGGCATCGCGTCTTATGAATAAATGAATATTTGTTCGAATATAGCTCGGTCACGATGAAAGAAACCCTACACAGCTTCCTGTATAATGTATGTTACAAACATGCCTTTGCAGGAAGGAAACAAAATGCAACCTAGTCTCTCAAGCCCCAGCATTTGGTGTCCGAAAAGATGCCATAACGATTTAAAAAGAACTGTTAGGGCTTTCTGTGGGCAGGAAGCGCTCCCGTCACCTTGTTGTCTCAGGCATTGCTGGGGCAGATCCCGCAGCGCGCATGTGTGTGAGCGTGTGTAAAATACGAATTCAGGAACATTTCTGTGTTTTGCAATTGTGGCTTCTAGAGATCTAGCTTTCACTGGAAAGCCGGAAGCAAAGCGCGGGACAGAGGTTGTGGCCGCAAGTGTCTCCGCAAGCGGAGTTCTCAGTTCTTTCTGCTCTCGGTTTCTGTCACCCCCAGGCAGTCGACCCCAGCTCCTCTGTTCTAACATCCCTATCCAGTGCGGTTTTCAGTTGCTCATTCATTCGCTGGACCTCTTTCATTCATTCCAAACTTCCTCCCGTCGCCTCTTCATTCGTTCACCATCTTCTACTTCCCCGCCCCTCCCCACCCCCCACTTTTCTTGCCAAATGTCAGTGATTTGGGACAGCTTCCATCCATGAATTAATAAAGACTGAGGCTCTGATGTAAAAAAAAAAAAAAGAGTAGACATTTGGGAACATATACATTGCAATCCCACTGCCAATATTTTGGTCATTTTCAGACTGAGGTTCATCAAATGCATCCCTTCTACAATCACTGCTTCATTATTTTCTATTCTGACCCACAAGGAAAGCAGAGCCCCCGAACGTCGTCCAGGTGAAACCCCCGTCTTAAAACTGTCGCTGTGTCCTGATCTATAAACGTTTGCAGGCTAACTGCAAAATGCCACAGTCTCTTATTTCCAGCACTTTAAGAATTTGCTGCCCTTGGGATCTGTGTCCTAGGATTGTTGCAGCTCTTTGAACTAATGTCAGAGGCGCAAAACCACCAGATGCAAAGCATTAAGTCATTTCCTAAAATTAAAGGAAAAGCCAACATCCCCGTGCATGGTCCTTGCTATGCAAAAATCCCAGTTTCTGCAAAATGACAAAAATCCTCTAAAATCAGGATTTCAGAATCATGTCAAATGCATATAGACCCCGATGGGAAGAATCAATTTTAATGTTCTGGGAACCCTGATTCTTCTACATTTCTTACGAAGAAAAGCCATTAAGCATTCCTTCTCTTGTCCCACACAAATTCCCTAACGCACCCCTGAGCTACTGCAAGATTTGTCTATGAAGAATTCTACAGCCTGACATGATAGCAGTTCCTTCCATCTCCAGAAAACCCATTGGAGAGTTTCTATTTTTTCTCTTGTCCATTCTATTAATAAGCTGCTTTCCTTTCACTTTTCGGCTACATTAATTAATGTTCCCATCCGACATCAGATAAGCGGATTCTCTAGCACTTACAACATTTGCATTTTGGTTGGAGAAATATGAACTTTAAGAAAGCTTTCTTACAGTGCAACTGAGACTCAACATTCCTTAACATAAAATGGGGGACTAAATCAGTCCTTCCATAAAACTGCTGCAAACAAAAATAACAAACACACGAACCTACATATTGTAAACATGTAAAACCCCTTTCTGCATAGAAATATTAGAGACGCTTGTATATAAAGTCACACACACAAACACATGACCCTGAAAAAGTATATCGGTGCATATTTGGCTGATTTAGCCTCCTTGTCGGAGTCTGCGGTGCCCGGAGCAAACGCTGCAGCTAGGATATGGGGGGGAGGGGCGGGGGAAGGACAAAGTTCTAAATGCTGCAGTTTGAGGGCAGCCTTGGAATATCTTTGCTTTCTGCACGTAAACTTTTCAGACCTAGATGCCTAGCCATCTTATTTCTGCATTCACCTTTCGACCCCTCAGAATAGTACCTTACAGTATATCGGGGGCCACACGCTAAGAGCGCTCCGACCCTGCTTTAACCCGGGAGAGGGTAGCAAAAATGGATCTGCGCTTTGGAAAGCAAGGAGAAATCCTCTTTGGAAAATAGTCTGCCGCACACACTTCAAGTCCCTTACTTTAGCAAAACCAAACCAGGACTCCGGAGTCCCAAACAGCTAATGCCCCGACCCTGGGTTTCTGCAGGGTTTTCTGCATCCAGCAGCAGACGCGGGCCAGCAAGTCCCCTTAGGCGCCTCCGGGGCTGGCAATCTCCGGTCGCCTACCATGCCGGACAGGGCGGCCACTTACCTATTTGCACCGCGAGGATCAGTGAAATATATCTGCCGTTCAACTTAAGTCCCATCCTACGTTTAGTCAAACCATTTGCGACCGCAGACCTTTAAATAGTTAGTTTAGAGAACGCGGGGGAAAGCTGAAAAATAGGCATTGCCAACAAGTTCCGGGAGCGACAGAGACTTTGTGCACTGGGAAGGCAGAGGGAGGAGAGAAAGAGAGGGAGCGAGGAAGAGACAGAAAGAGAGCGAGAGAGTGAGAGGCTTGTGTGTGGGGGGAGGTAGAGCTGGGAATGGTTCACTCCATTAGGAGGGGGCGGAGGAAGTACAGCCTCACGCCCACGAGCAGGCCTGACGTGGGGGATGACACGGATTGATTTTTTTTTTTAATATAGACACCTTGGTAGAGAATCGCCATTTATAGTCATAAGACTCTGGAATTAATAAGATATCTCCAATTAACGTGCAATCTCAACGAAATCTCGCCTCTCTGGGGTGACCGCTTCCCATACCGGTAGCTACCCCCCGCCTCCTCGTTCTAGGGGCCCCCAGCCCCGCCCCCTCCCTGCGCAGAATCGGGGCTCCCTCTCCTCTCCCCGCCTGGAGCCGGGGAGTCCTGGCGCGCCCACTCGATTGTTCAACCTGCTCCCTCCTCCATTGGCGCCACAACGAACCCAGACACTTCCAATCCTGCAGCGAGGTTTGAGGTGCTTCTGGCCGGGGCGCGGGGCGGGGGGACTCATCTGAGCCGAATCGCCGCCACCCCTTCAGCGGCCTGCAGACCCCGCACTTGCCTACTCTTTTTTTCCAGCCCCACGGCTGAGCTCTAGGCGCAGCCTGGAGTGCGTGAGCACACAACCTGGCCCCCAGCACCCAGCACCTGCACACACTCACACACACGCGCACGACTGGGAGCAGAGCCGAGCGCCCCCGAGCCAGCCCTCACACACCGGTGGCTCGAGAGCGCGCGAACGCCCAGGCCCCGGGGGTTCATTCTGCACACATGGGGCCCCAGAAATAGACTCCGCGTGCCCTCTTGTGAATTTCACCACTGGCGACTCTCACCCACCGGCGGGGGCCGCTACACCAGACGCAGAGACACCGATTTTGGTGGGTGGGGCTAGGAGGCACCGGGCAATGAGGCTTGGCTAAAACGATTTTCGGATTCTTCTGATTTACAAACTCTTAGAGCTTTTAGGAAATTTCCAATGCACGCTCCGGTGTGCAGGCTGTTTTCTGGGGGCTCCCTGGGGTCATTTGTTGGGCCGCACTCGCATGTTTACACACACGCACCCACGTCCATCACGTACACACACGCACACCCGGACCCATACACACTTGCGCTTTTTTTTTTTTTTTTTTTGATGAAATGTCTCTTCAGCTGCGTTTGTGCAAGGTCCTGCAGTGGGTCGTGTAAGATGGAAAAATAACTACATCTACTTCCTAAACCCAATTAAGTTTTGGTTTTCTCTTCTTTTTTTCCCTGCAATGCACCAAACCCTCTTCCCCAGTATGAATTCTAGCGTCTTTAATCAAATGTTGAAGGCCGCACTGGCGAACTTTATTACTTGATAAAAGATGAAGATAAAGAGATAAAAGAAAATAAAATTAGGAGAAAATAAAAAAATTAGGAGAAAATAAGATTAGGAGAAAATAAAAGAATCTTCATATTTTGCAAGACTGCTGGACGACCGCGTGAGGCTATCAAATTAGTAGCAGAAATGCAAAGGGAATAGGGAGATGGGGCGTCCCTTGTAGTAGCTTCTTGAGATCCCGGCACTGGGAGCCCACACAGCCATCTATCTGGGCACACAGACTGAGAGAGGGAGAGAAAGATGCAAAATCGGAGTCAGGTGACTGACTGTGGATGGACAGAGGAAGACTGCGGGGGTCCTGACTGCCGTGCGGTGTAACCAGAAGAGCTCGCACCTAGGGGATTCAGGTCCGCAGCCCTGCAGAACCACAGACCCCTAGGCAGGTCACCTGAACTCTGCGGGCGGAGCCACGTGCTCCGCCCCCGGTGATGTCACCGGTGGTGGGCGGGGCAGCGGGGGCGCACTTTCCCGGTGTTCAGGGTCCCAGTGGCAGCGCCGGGGGTTTCCTATTCTAGTGTTCAGAGGTACCTAGAAAAGCAGAAAAGGTGGGCGGGATGGAGGCGGGAGAGAACGGGTGGCGAGAGGGGGGCGTTCCTCGAACCCTCCCTCGATGCCCTCCAATGGTTGAGAAGGGGCCGGCTAGGGGCGGGACCTTAAGGTTGGAAGCCCGCCCCCGTATCCTCTGGTCCCTTCGGGGTTCCACGCACAGGGCTGCCGGGCTTTCCCCCTCTTCCACCCCGTCCGTGGCACCGAGCCTAGTCTTCCCCACTCCGCTCCATAGTTTCAGAGTCCGGGAAACTGGTGAATTTACATTTCGTGCCCTCAACGTCCTTGCCCTCCTCCTGCTCACTCCTCGGGACCTTCTAGAATATTTTCTGTAGGTGCCCTGGGATCCTACTCAATGCACACTTTCTCACTCGGAACTTGATGCTTTAGGGTTTGCGTGAGAAGGATGGATTGACAGACTGAAGCTGAGTGAAGGGGTGCGCGAGGGCAAGCTTCCGCAGTCCCGCGCGCGTGAGTAGATTCGGCACCCGCTGTGCCCTAGCCACCTCTGGGTCTCCTGCTGGCCCTTTTCTTGATACTGGACCCCTCCGCTAAAGTGAAGTGAGAGGCTGGCAGAGCTACTCTCCAGAAATAATCCGGGGAATGAATAATTGAAAACAGATGCTAACGATGGTTTTGTTTTTGAAATTTCTAACCTTTTAAATCACGCAGGTCGTTCTGCAGTCTAGGCCCAGGCAGGCTTTGTTTTTCCCTATTTCCTTAATTGACAGGTAACAAAAGCCAGGAAGGAAATGCAAGGGTGACTGAGATCACAGTTGGGACTGGATTGGAGGACATTTCCTCTTTTATTAATATGAAAAGCCTATCCATGCCATATTTAACACGAAAGATGGCCCTGTAGGAGGGTAGGAATAGCCCTGGCCTTCAAGTGACATTGGGTGCCCCTAGAAGGTTCCGTGTCGCATTTTCCCAATCTCAAAACAAAGGGGATATGTCTATGATTCGATCTCCAAAAGATCTTCAACTTTGACTTCTTGTGAACCGGAGCCGGAGCGTTTGTAGAATAGCAGGGACGTGCCAGGAAGCGGGAATCCACTTAGAGCCAAAGGGTAAGATAAGGTCCATGCAAGAATGCCTGTTATGGCTCAGCAGAGCTGTTTTTCTTCAAATAAATGTTTGCTCTAAAAGTTAGAGAGAGAGAGAAAAAAACACAGTTCAGGAAGAAAAAAAAAAGGCCTTGTTGCTGTTTGGGTCTGCAGGTTGAACAGAAAGCACCTAAAGTGGCTGTGCAGCATTAAGTGATGGGCAGCCAAAATTCCATTTCCTTAAAGCATCCGGGTTCTTCCCCAGTTCAGGCTGGGCCACTCCAGTTTGACTGAGCAGTTTATGAGTTGATCTCTCAGCTTCCTCTGCTAATCCGTCATAGAATGGCCTTCCCAGAAGCTGCCATCTCAAGACACACCCCCTTGAAATTGTTTGCAAGAGCAGTTGCCAGGGCCAGTGGGAGATTCCATCTCTGTCCTCCAGGCCAGATAAAAAAAAAAAAAAAAAAAAAAGCCAATGTTGTACTAGAATGGATTGCCCTAGCAATACATCTCCCTCAAATTCAACCTGTCATTGTTTTTAACCTTCAACTAGAACCTTTAATCAAAGTATGAGTATAAATGTGCATTGCTAGTTCTTTTCATTGAAATAACTATACCGTATTTAAACTAGGAGGAAAGTGAGTTTGTATATGGTATTATGTCATTTGAGGTTGCAGTAAAACTCCCTGTAATGTGGGAAGGGGAAAAGGCAGGGAGTAATTACACATGTCACAAATTGTCTCTCATATGTAAAATGTATGTGTGTGTGTGTGTGTGTGTGTGTGTGTGTGTGTGACTAAAGCAGAGGGGGGACTATGTACAAAAAGGTGAGTTCGTGGATAGGGACAGGACATGTTAATAGTGGGGAGAATGAATATGAGCAAAGGACAATGATTACATCTGTAAAATGTTCTGATAGAACCCATTATCTTGTATGTGAAAGAAAAAAAATTAATTAAAGAAAGAGAGACAGAGGGAATCCCCGTTAGGAGGCCTCTTTTCTACCCTCATGTTTACTCCTTGATAAGGCGACTTTCTCCACTTTAGATCATGAAACTTTCCGAAATTAGGTGGAACCTTTAGGCTTGAAACATACGACTGACTGGGGGAAACTTGATTTAAACGCGTACATTTGGATTCTGCAGGCAAACGCGCTCCTCTTAAAAATAAGCATTGTTGTTGTGGAACGGACTCTGAGAATGATTCGCAAGGCGAGGCTGCGCCCAGCTCCTGTGCGTGACAAGGTGAACATCTGCACGGTGACAGCTGCAGGATGTGACAGGGCAAACGTCTCTCCACCCTGCACCGGCTGGAAGAGAGATAAGGATAAAATGCGACTTGCATTCCCTTGTGTGATCCCTAGACCAGAAGGAGCCAAGATTTGGCTGGCACAATTAAATACTTGAATGAGGACCATAGGCGACACTGTGTTTATGTGAGCACGGATTTCCGATTGAGATTTGTGCCCTGACTACAGAAAAGGGTGACTGCATCTGTACAATGTCCTGATAGAACACGCTGTCTTGTATGTGAAAGGGAAATTTTAATTCAAAAAAGAAAGAGAGACAGAGGGAATGGCTCTCTCTTAGGAGGCCTCTCCTACCCTTGTGGGTGGTGCCTTCTACCCTGGAGTGATGGGGCCACAGCATTCAGAAAAGAACAGACAGAGTACAGGCAATTAAATGGCATGGTAAAAACACAGTAAAATGTCAAGAGCTGGGGAAATGGAAGGGGACTTGAGTTTTCTGTTTTCCCCTGGCATTATTTTCTTTAATGTTTGAAGTTATTTAAAAATAGATTAATAAAAGTAAAAAGATCAATTCTAGGTGATTAAAGGCTTTGTTACATTTTTCATAAGGTTAGCGTGTCCCTCAATGGTTCCTGTATTGAAATTTAATCACTATAATGAGGTATCAAGAGAGTGGTAACATAATGAAACTACGCTGTTTAGAGATAGCGACTTTAGGAAGTGATTGGGATCCATGAATGAATACTGCTAACTTCATAGATTGACTGATCATAAAACTTAATATCTATATCTAATCTATGCCTGTCTATCTACATATACACCACATACATACCATATACACACAATACACACATACTAACCACA